ATCTCTAAAGAGAGTTTTACAAGAAAAACTGGAGGCTGTCCGGAAACTTTCAGACCTTGAGGTAATGTTTGCCCCTGAATGTAAAGCTTTATTATTATTTTAACAGAAAAATTCAATACTTCTTCAAGCTGCACTTGAACATCACTTTTGTCTCAGTGATAAGTCTATGATGAGGTTATTTATTTTCAGCGATCGTTACATAACACTGAGGATGAGTGCGCTCATCTGAAGGAAATGTGTGAGAAAGCTCAGGAGGAACTCCAGGCCCTGGCCGAGAAATATCAGGACCAACAAAAGGAAGTCATAGAGATACAGGAAAAATTACAGGTAATGTCTAAAAATGGAATCAGGACCAATAGAAAGAGGTCATAGAGATCCAGGAAAATTACAGATAAATCCTGAAAATAGAATCAGGACCATCAGAAAGAGGTCATAGAGATCCAGGAAAAATTACAGGTGAGTCCTAAAAATAGAATCAGATCTAACAGAAGTAGGTCATGGAAATACAGGAAAAATTACAGGTAAACCCTAGAAATAGAAATAAAAATGACAAGTTAGATGGAAATTCTTTTCATTATACAAATGCAGGTTAATGTCACAGGTGATGAAAATCAAGTCTTTTGAGGTACTCAAACCCAGGGCCTCTGTATTCTAACAGTTGACCCTGATATATTGACTGATTTTTACACACCTGTGAACCTAATGTCATAATTTTTTTTAGTTATAAGAAAGACAGAACTACAAGTATTAGGTTTTGATGACAATTTTTCTGAGTTATTTCCCTTAGCAGCATGTTAAAGATAAGTGAACTTTCCTATTTTAAGAATTTGACATTATATTATATGAGCCTTTAACAAATGATAGAATTTTCTACACCCTGGATCTATGATGACAAATTGATTTAAAACTGATTCAATAAGGAAGAAATCTAACAGTTTGATCTCCAGTTTGGCAGCCAATGGGAAATAACTTTAACTAAATCCACCTATAATCAAAAACCATCAAGTCATAATAACTGTTAAATAGATAATCTCTAGTACTGATGACTTTGTTTTGTTTACAGGAGGTGGAGAGTTAGTATAATTATAGTCTGTAGTACTGATGACTTTGTTGTTATTACAGGAGGCTGAGAGGCACCACCTAGAGGAGGTAGAGAGGCTTCGTCAGGAGAAGGAGGACCTCAGTGAGAAGTTGGAGGAGATGATCCGCCAGGAGACGATTCTCACCGCCAAGATGGAGTCTCTACAGGCCGACAATGACATCGCCATGGAACAGCTCGCCGCCATGAAAGGTAAATACTGTTACTATAACGATATCGCCATGGAGGAGCTCACCGCCATGAAAGGTAAATACTGTTACTGAGCAGCTCGCCCCATGAAAGGTAAATACCGTTACTGAGGCTAGCTACCATGAAATGTAATTACTAGTACTGGAGCTAGCCATCATTTGAGTAATGCATTACAAAGGGGGGTCAATTGGTACTCATACTCTGATTTGAAATTAGTGATACTATTTAGTCAGCTATATTGCCAGAGAAAGATTTATAGAAATATGTGCTTTGAATTGTTTAGAAGACTTTTGTTGAAGATATTTTTTCCTATTTTCAGAAAAACTGGAGGCAATCAAAGAACCAAAGGAGAATGTGATAGAGGAGAATGGGGAGGGGCTGACAAATGGGGACAGGACAACAGACGAGGTCATCGACACCGGCGACAGGAAGGTCATCGTCAGCGACGACATCAAGATCATCATGACGGACGACGAGAATGATAATAAACTAGAGGATATACACAAACCCGACAGCTTAAACAATGTACAGAACAATATAGACGATGTCGGTCAGTATTTAGTGTACATACTGTAAAGTCACGTAGATTTGATTATGTAAAATATTCAAAGATTAAAAATGGTTAGATTTTGTCACACATGAATGCACGTTGCTTTGAATAGAGTTAATTCTGAAAAATACTTTGATCATCTTTTCTCTAAATCTGTTTTGAAAAAAAAAATGAAATTCTGGATAGATTAAATGTTATGAAAGATTAATGGCAAGTAGTGTACAGTCAATCATGTTACATAGATTTTACAGTTTTAGGTGTTTATGATGCCATTTTTCGATGTTTAGAGACAACTGTTCTACACTGTTACATTGTATACACTGTTTGTTTCAGATTCCATGAAAATTAACTCAGAAAAAAGCAGTCCAGAGGACATTCAGGGTAAATCAATCGCTGTGGCCTGTCATCTTAATTTATTTATAACTAATTATAATACCTTTTAAACTGTGATCTCTTGTCACTTGTATTAGTAATTTTTTTCTTGGAGATGGAATATAAAGAAAAGCTTACATTTCTGGCACAAGTACATTTAAATGTACTTGTGCCATAAATGTACCTGTGCCAGATCGAGTCTCAATTTAACTCTTACTGTTATTGGTATTTGCAGGAAAACTGAAAGATGCTCAGAAACAGATAGAAAAGTATAAAGGTATCATGACAATTTATTTTAAAGTTTAATAATATTATAATAAAATACCGCAGGACATTTTCTGATGTTATATTTTGTGTTGACAGAGTTGATCAGGGAGTCCGATGTTAAGATGAAGGAGAGCTGTGACAAGTTAGAAGCTGTACGGAGTAAGTGATAAACATATAGTATATGTGTGATATTGACATAGTTGAGAAACGTCAGCTTTACCCATGAATTTACATCCCCACAAACGTTTATTTTGTTAACATATTGATTCATTGAACCATCAAATTTACAAGCAACCCACGAAATTACGACCCCACAAACAGGTCAAATTTTGCTTACCCACAAACATTGGCCCCCATGAATTCAAATGATTCAACAGTATCTGAATTTAAAGGAATCTTTAACTATTTTGTTTGAGTTGATTTATCGTATTTTCTGATTTTATAGAAGAACTTGAACGAGCGGAAACCGATGCCAAACAGTATATCACAAAGATAGCCTCCCTGGAAGGTAAATATGTGTGCCAGATTTCAGTGTTATATAGGCTTAATAAAGCTAGAACATTCTTAAATCATCATCAAGTTAAAGCAGCAAATTAATCTTAAGATTTAATAATGATAAACTTTATAGTGTTAAAGAAAATTTTCTCAGCTACAATTAGCAATGTTGTGGTTTTGCTTAAAAATTCTTGTTTTTATTTGCATCAGTTTTTTCCCCAAGCACATTGCATTGATGCATTTGTCAAGTTAAACAAGTTTATGTGATTTTCTTGGAATTTTTATTGAAATTTTTTTGCATGGGAAGTTGTTGACTTGTTTCTTCATTTTCTTCATAAATATAACAATACAGGGTATATCATGTCTTCGTGTAATCTTTTCAATATTTATTGCTCAAATTTCCAATAAACAATAGGACTTCTTGATTATGATGAGCATATTTCTATCTCAAACTATAGAACTTCTAAACTAGTAATTAATAGCTATCTTGTATATTGTCTCCACTAAAAAATTTCTAAAGAAGTTCTGGTGAAGGGGAGCACTCGATTTCACTAGTATGGATAGGAATTTTAAAGATATTTTCATTGAATATATGTAGATGAAGTAAATTTAAGTAAAGGTTTTTTTTTTTAAAAATCATGCACGGATACTAAGGCACATGTCCAAAAAAAATTACTTTGTTAAATAAATGTTGGCAATCTTAAAAAAAAATCATAGAAGTACAGGTACTTTGATGTGTAAAGATTTTAGAAGAATATTTCTTTCCTGGAAACCTTCAATGTGGTGGAAAATTGTCAAATCACTTTTCCTTAGCTGGTCACGTTTTTTAGTTAATTCCCCTAACTTTTATCAACCCCAAGCCAACCCCCCTTCAACCCCCCACCCCAACACACACCCCATCATTTGACTACAGCATGTACTGACGGCTTCTGCACATCTCATCTGACTCCATATCATCTTTGTTCATTCAGAAAAGCTCAAGCTGTCGGACTTACATTTGAACTTAATGATGGAAAATACCATGGCAGATCTGAAGCGTAAGTCTTCATTTCACCCAGGGGTGGATCTAGGGGCATGTGGCATTAGGTCACATGATCTAGGGGAGGTTATCTAGTGGACAGATATTCATTCCAAATGAGAATAGCTGGATGATTAGTCACCTGCATCTTTTAAACATTTGTGTCAAAACTTGTTTCCCAATTTATGAATTTATGAAGAATTTGATGATATTTAACTTAAGATTTAAAGTGCAATAATCACATAAAAATTCAATGATTTTTTGATTTCAATGAAGAACTATATGTTGCTAAGCTTCTTGTCGCAAGATAGGAGCCATTCCTTGAAATGGTTGATCCACCCCTTATTTCCTCAGCTGTCTTCATGTTTCCTCGTTTCTGTTTATTTACTGAACTGTTATACTGATTTCTGGCTGAAAATATTTCTCAATTTTGCATGCGTCATTTGTTTAAAAAGATTCATTCTGCTATGTCGGATGTGGTTTTATAATGTCTAAACTGTGAGTTTGATGTTTTGTATCTTTACAGAGCAGCTTAAAGTTTCCCAACACCAAACTGATAATAGCTCAGGGCTTATCACAGAATTACAGGGTAGGTCAAAACTTAGCCAACTTAAACACGTTGAAGGATGAACAAAATTGAAGCTGCTTCAAAGCCTGTTGACATCTTTTTGAGAATTAATTTCTGCTTTGCTGTGGAATCATTTTAATTTGTAAAACTTTTTTACTTTTTTGTGGGGATGAAATTTCATTGGTTACTCCTTTATACTGTAAATTGAATGAATAAAAGGGTAACAAAATAAATGAATGTGTATAATGAAAATTTATTTGACCCACAGATTCCAAAAACTCTACAATTGGTTCCCATTAAAGTACAATTACAGTGATTCCACAATATAATATGATTTATTACATATATACATGTAATTTCTGTTTTACAGAGAAGGTTCAAATTCTGGAAAGTGAGATCAGGAATGCTCGGTTACCACCAGAGAAGATGGAAGCCACGCTGGTGGCTACGTGTGCTTCCCGACCAACCACCACCACCACCGCCGTGTCACAGATGGATGAGTCTAACGATTCAGGCCTGGAGGACGATGACAATCTTAAAGGTCAGTAAAGCTCTGGCTCAGTTAGCTCCTGGGTATAATATATTCTTATGTATGCCAAGTTTGCTTGATATGATGTACCATTTTCATTCAAAATGCTAATTTGTATAATTGATTTTTATAGAACTTTTGAGGGAGGCCCGAGTATTACAAACCAAGGCAGAGACAGAGCTCAAGAAATGTCGGGGTGAGTGTACACTGTAATTTATGACTTCTTGTGTCAAATTCTGTAGACCACACATTTTTTGACACCTTATTTTGGCAAGGAAGTTATTCCTTCACAATGGAGTTTGTGGGAATGTAGGGATAAATAAAGTAATGTGTGTTTTTGTGTGTGTGTGGGGGGCGTAGTTTGTCCTTGGGTGGATAATGGAAGAGATGTAATTTGCATCAGGATCAATGTCAGATACTGCATTGACTTTAGATTTGCTCTTTTGTAAGGGGAGTCTCCGCTTTGCAGTGCCCTTATTTGGTATTTATTTCTGAGAGACAAATTTTTTTAAGCATTTTGGTTACTGCCTTATGTAAAACTTGTTCTGTGATACACAAGAATGAAATTAAACAATCAGGGGATCTAGCTTAATAATGCAAAGGTAAAGTTGTGTCAGAATAATGATTTACAGTACAGTAATCACATCGTAGTTAGCTAGTTTTGTGCATTTGAAAGTAAAACTTTACAGTTTAAATTGTTTGAATGACAAAAAATTGATGTCCAAAAAGTTGGCAATGGTTGAGGCAATATACAGACTGTTCAATTAATGTATGCTAAACAAAAGAAAAACATGAAAGAACTTGTGTCTGTGACCAGGGAAAAACGACCTTTTGGTAAAAACTTGGATTTGACTAAATCACACAATAAGATAATGTGTCCACAGTGTGTTGTAGAGATTTTTACTTTTAAGAAAAAATTAATGTTCATACTCCTCTAAGTGGAGATAACTATGAAATGGTGGAAACAGATTGGGGATTAATTAAAATGTTCTTCTCTAAAGACTGCTCAGCCTGATATGAGAAAAATAACAGAACTTTGTTGAAGCTTTATGTCTGAAACAATTAAAGAAGATGTTATGTGTAAGAATAATAAAAATAATCTTGAGATCTCAGGGCTAGAAATTTCCTGCTCGTGTGATGACATACTTAGGTTCCAAAGTTTGTAAACTTTGTCCAAGGTCCAGGTTGGAGAAAAAAGGAAACGAAAGATTTCACTAGAAATGCATACTTTCAAGACTTACACTTTACATTATGATATATTGTTCCAAATATGAATTTCCACATTATCACTCTTGAGAATACTGGAAATTCCTTATTTTCCATGCTTACTTATTATCGTGGAATGGCTCTTGAACATCAAATCGCGAGAATAATTATTTGCGAAAGGACAGTTGATCAAAAGAATTGACATGGATTTTAGCACCGTAAAAATAAAAGCGAGTAATTCTATTTCGTAAGTGATGCTTCTCGCGAAATTATGCGATAATTAATTCCTCGCTTATAATTAGGAATCTACAGTAAGTTTGTATTTGATAGATACATACTTACCCTTATGGAGCTGTAGTTTTAAAAAGAGTGAGTAAGGAAAAAGAGCATAGTTAATGCTCCAGAAAGAGAAAGACGTACAGGTGAACATTAATGGCCTTGGGCCTTTTGTCTTCCGTTAGAGAAAAATCAGAAACACATCAGTTAAACCTGCAGTTTTCACTTTCAAAAAAAGGGAAAGGTCAGGAAATGGAAATTTCACTTGTCAGTGAGAGCATTTGCACTTGATTAATTGTGCCATATAACTAAAAGAGTACATATAATTAAAAGAGTTAAGTTTTACTTGCTGTAAAAGAATAAAATCTAGATGCACTCTTAAGTCATTCAGGCAGAAAGTCATTGTTTTGACATAGATCATATAGAAGTGTGAAATGATGTGTGAACTTGGTAAGCAGATGTTGTAAGGTTGAGATGTGACACCACTCATGATCAGATAGGAGACAGATATTTATTTGTTTGCTAACAGGTTAAGACAAGTGAGATGTTGATTAGGTGACCTTGAGGGGATGAGGTCATGTCTGATAAACTTGGTATTCCACTGCAATCTGACATTCCTCTGGTTGTTTGGGATTTAATTGTACACTGATACCTGTACTATATAATTCACTACCTTGTATGAGGTTACTCATCTGTATTCTCAACAACAAATACAAAACTACCAGACAAACTTGTTCCGGGAATTTAGTATGTGTGTGTGATTTTTACGAACACATTTTGTATTATGTGGTAATTAAAGGTAAATAGCTGTCAGAATTTACCTGTACACACCTGAGCAGAAAGCTTTACTTCAGAGAATGAAATCCACGTGTGAAATGTTGACGTAAGGTTTGCTACTACTACGAGTGGTACTTATTCTGCAGTAATAAGATAATGGGGATATAAAGGGTCCGGGGGAGAGCGGTGTGTACCTGGGAATTTTACCTGTCTGTGTAGTGTTAGTAGTCACCTGTGGAGGGAGAACTGTGATTGACCAGTGTACGATGTATACAGACAGGTAGAATGAAAAGGAAATGGGATACACTTATAGCGGAGGGTGAGTTTATTTATCAAAATGCAAAAGTTTGCAGGTGGATGAAGGGGGGTTACTCTGTTGGGCTTTTACGTGAGGACAAGGTTTGATCCAACAAGGAGTTATAAAACAGACTGTGGAGTGGAAAGTATACTCTAATGTTGGAAGAGAAAAAATGTTTATTAGTTTTTGTTTTGGCAATTCATTAAAGAGAAACAAAATCCATGTTTTTTAATTCTGGGTTGCACCAAGCAAAGGTCAAAAGTTTCTGCCATTGTGCATAGCATCAGTAGACATTTAAAGGATACGCAACATACTTGATACTATGGAATAGTTTGTGGATGTACTTCAGTGTTGTAAGGCTATATACAGATGAGATAGCTTTGATGTACAGGTGTCAGATTTCCATAGATCTGTCAGTTCAGTCTTTCTGGGCCATTCAGATTTTGTACATTCTTCCCGCTTCTATAATTAGCTTTTGATTGTTATACTTAGTCCCACTACTGACTTCTAAACTGGCATTCAACTTCTTAAATTTCTTACATTTCTTTAAATATTTTTACAAATGTCTTTTCAATTTAGGGATTGTTTAAACAAATATTGACATTTATTATTTAGGCCAAGTTGGCAGTTTTTAAATGATTTCACAATTATCAGTGACCCATTTTTATGAGGTTGACCTTTCATCTGATAGAAATATTTTCTACCTGATTTTAAGTCGGGAGAGTAAAACCTGATTTCTCCTGATCAAGAGAAAATGTGCATTTAATCCTTATCAATGGAAGGCATCACAGACAATTTAAAGGTCCTAAGAATAGTATAACTGTATTTCATTACAGATGGGTGCTTGATTTAAATATGCACTAAAAGTCTGAAATCATTACCAACATATTGAATATCCAAGATTATTTAATTCAAAGATCAAAGTTTCTTTTTTTTTAAGAAAAACAGACTTTACTTGTTACAGTACAGTTTACTTATACATATTACAAAGTTATTGAGAGTGGTGATTAATCAATTAACGAACTACGAAAATGTATACGGTACTTTAAATTAATGCAGACTTGAAAATAAAGAAAAAAACAGTGAAGTATATACCACTGTACATAAACTTGGCTTATGAAATGAGTTGATGCAAAGAAATTAAAACTCTCTCATTGTTTCATTTCTCTTTTGATATGTTATATGAAATTTAAACTTTTTACTAAAAAGTGATCTACCAGGTGCATATTATTATTTTAAATCTCAAGTTACAGAAGAGTATGTATCTATTTTGTAGATGAATTGAATGTGAGTAAAACGGAGGTTCAAAGGAAAGATGAGGAGACGAGTAACTTAAAGGATCAGCTGTGTGACGCCCACAAACTGACCCAGGACCAGTCCAAGATGGTGGTCGACCTCCAGGGTAGGTGTGGTGAAGGGGGGGGGGGTCAATGGTGCACCCCTGATGTTAACTACAGAACTTGAGTATTTTGGTTCATGTGCCTGGCAAATAAAGAAATATTTAAGAACAATTCAGTAGATCATTGTAATATTATTATTCTTAAAAAATATATAAAAACTATTTTGTTATCTAAAAGAAAATTCAGTACTAATGCTGTTCAAGTCTATATGGTCTTTAGAAAAACATTTTCATTAAGTTCTGTAATTTTTTAGATCAACTCAAAAGAGCAGAAACTCAAACCAAAGAAGTCAAACAACAGATTCTGGAACTGAGAGGTAGGTGTCTATTTAAAGGTCACCACAGGTCAGAGGTCATAAGTCAGGTGCACAAATTTCTACTGTGTTACAGTGAAACCTGTCTAGTCTGACTAATGCTGGGAAAGACATTTTCTGTCAGATTGGATATGGAATCAGATTGCACAATGTAAATGTAGAAAACAACAATTACCATAAAATGGGAATGAAAACAAAGGTTGGTATTAATAGTGAAAGCAGATTACACAATTGTCTGGTAAGACAGGTTTCACTGTATAACTCCATCCTACCAAGAAGTTGCTTATTTAACCCACTCTTTGTTTTACTTTCATTAAAGCCTCCAGCTTAACATTGAATTCTACTTTTCATTTAATAGGCTTTTCCTCTTTCTTTTCTCTTTTACTGAGTATATACAGCTCCACCTATAATCATGATAATTTATAGAATGGGTAATTTCTTTTCTTGAATCATTTGCAGTTTTGGCCAGTAAAGATTACCGGTAAATCCTAAGTTTACATTTAGTTTTTACGAATTCCCCTATTGAAAATTTGAAGTTTTAATGATGTTATAAAAAATAAGACCATTCAGTGCCATTTCTTTCAATAAATGAAGAGCTAGTAATGTAACTCAGCAAAATTTGATTGATTATATCCTGCAACATATTGAGAAAAATAGCTTTCTTCTAGACAAATGGATGTATCTATCTCTTTTTAGACTAATGTTTGGAATGTTTTTCTGTTGATACTTTTACCAAATTGAATGCAAAACAGGATAATCAGGAATGAACCTTTTCTGTGTGTAAACCTTGGATGATTTTTTTCTGATCAATCTTATCTGTTGTCCACAAGCCCAAAAGATTGAAAGCAGACTTTACCTATCAGACTATGTAGCCATTTAATTTCAAGAAGTGCACAGAAAATCAAGGGCCCTTTAAGATATTGATATGGGCCATAACAACATGTAAAGTTGGTTTTATCCATATGGCCTATTCAGTTATAAATGTTATTTGCATCCCTTCATTACATCAGATTCGAGATACAGTAACTCACCAAACCAGAGACTCAGTCTAATTGTACTCTGTTCATGATCTGAGATGACAAGCTTAATCCCCTCCCCATTCCCCAGTGAAGGACATGCAAAATTGATGTTGACATATATTTCTGCCCCTGTTTGGTAACACTGTAAAGAAATGTCAGGTATGAGCGTGTGGTCAGTCCAGCATGTAAAGCTTTTGACTGTGTTCCCTGCATGTTTATACTCATTTCATTAACAGACCAATTAATGGAGGAACAGAAAATAGCTAAAAATAGCCAAGAAGAAATGATAGCTGTCACATGTGAGTTATACATGCTCAAACAAATGTTTTATTGTCACTCAATATTACACATTTATTACTTCTATACGTATTTAAATCATTATCATTTTATTTTAGTGAAATGTATACAATGTCTACCCTCAAGATGAACATTTTCTTGCTAGTCTTTCAACTCTACCCAGAATCCTCTTCTGTTTTTTACTACATATGCAAAGGGATAATCTGAAGGAAATCAAATTTTGATCATTCTTAACTGTACGCATTTTAACTTCAGGTGAACTGGACCAAGAAAAACTAAGAAACAAAGAAACCAAAAAGGAACTAGACGAAACAAAATGTAAGGTTTCAATCTTTAATTTGATTTTTAAAAAAAAGAAAATAAGTAAAAATATTAAATTTTACTCGTTCAAGCTCAATATTGTGGCTTTACTGACCAGGATAATTAAATAAATTAGTTTTGAACTTTGCATCAACAGTTATCACAATGAAAACTGAAATTCAAAGCAATTTTCTGTAATTTCTTTGAGAACTCTTTTGCAATTGTTGTAAATCATTAATGAAACAAATTTGATCCTCACTATCCACATTATTTCTGCAGTTATTTTGTGTAAATTTGTTGGCATAAACTGTTAAATGTAAAATGTATTGTGTTTATTTTTTAGCTAAACATTTAGAGAGTCAACAAGCGGCCAAACAAAGTCATAATGAGGCAGAACAACTAAAGAGTAAGTCTTTAGAGTTTTATCTCTTGCTGCTTTCTCTGTCTGCTTTGAACAAACAAGCTTTTAAATTCAGTCTTTAAACCATGCTCTAAAATCTTCAGCATTGTTTATAAATAAAATGAGGACTTCAAATTTAGGGTTAAGTTTTTCTCAGATGTGCTAAGAGTTCAAAGAGAAACCAACACGGAAATGTGTAGTTTAAAGAGAAAGTAGGTTATTTGTAACAGAAACCACAAATGTGTAAAAATGTACATGGACATAATCAATTAAGCTAGTAAGCAGAAAAATTAACTCAAATTTTCGTGTCTAGCAATGTTACGGAACCTCGCACCCAAAGACTATAACAAATGTAAGTGTAATGCCCCCGGGCTTGGTGTACATGGAGTTATCCCCCTTGTATTATATTTTTTGTATTTTCATATTATTTTTATTTGCTTTGTAACCAAAAACAAACTGCTTTTTATGAAATTCTAAAAATTAATTGTACAATTCTTTAATTACAAACACTTTGAACATTTATTAAACAATATGTTAATATTTTGTATACATATCTGTTATTAAGTATATTTGAGTATATAATTATATGACTTCTACATATGAATACTGTATTCAGATCATAAATGTATTTGTTTAGTCCTTCATAAAAAAGCGTAGGTAATTCAAAATAAACAATGATAAATTTGGGAAAGTAATTGAAGGTAGCTATAAACAATTTAATTAAATCACTTATTACATAATATTATATTAATAGAAATGTTGAAGATAAGTCATAGTCCTTTTCATCTGTGTTAAATTGTCAATGAGATCAATTATTATTTTTCTCTGTAAGATTATTAAATGAGTCGGCATTATGATCCATATGTATATAATATTAATTCTTTTTTTTTCTCTTAAATATCAGCATGATTTTTTTTTAACCTTATTGTCTCTTTAATTCTTTTAAAATAATGGTCAAATCTTTGCTATTTTATTATTTGCTTAATTGCATCTATAAAACTTTGTTTTGGATGAAGTGGGTAAATGTTTAGATTTTACACAGCTTAGTGAATGGTAATTTGTTAACAATATAAAAGTTATCACATCAAAATCTGTCATAATCATGTCATGGTATCTCTTTTTCTGTTCTGCTCTATAGGCATGTGATATGACTCACATTCATTTACACTTCAGATCTTGTAGCCCTTTTCTGTTGATGCATTAGATTTTATTTTATTCGGTTGCAGCATGGATATTTTTTTTGTTTTTTTTTCTCTTTCCTCTGTTTTTCATCTTTGACTCTGTGCATGGAGCTCTCTATCCATCTCTCTGTGGTTGTGTTACCATGGTATCTCAGCCCTCTGCATGGCTTACAAGGCGCTCTGTCTGCTTTGGATGTTTTTTTTTTCTGTGCGCCCCCTGGTGACAAGATTTGTAACTCTATATGTGTCGCCCTGCAGACAAAGTTCGGCAGCTGCAAGAGCGACTGGACTCCGAGAGACGAACCTCCTCTCACTATGGTACGAGGAGCCTTCATCTAGACACACACAGTCGTGACTCTCATGGCCGTGACTCCCATGGTCGCGACTCGCACTCTCGCGAGCTTTCTCACGGAAGCTCTTCTCTCAGGGATTCTCATCACGGCTCTCATAGGGAACTCCACAAAACTAACAGCGGGGGGCATACACCCTCCAGCCCCTCTGGGAAACAACGAGGTAATATAAGCGGTAAATGTCTTCTTCCTTCACTTCTGATGTTGCCATGGGGATAAAAAAACAATCATGATGGATGATGGCCTGAATTTCCTCAGATATTTTTTTAACTTTTTGGTGAACTGTGGTGATTTATTTCTGTCACATTTCCCCCCTTCATTACATCATATAAATCATTTTTATCACTTAGTGTAGGAATAAGTATTCACTTGTACAGGTAGTTGTGTAAATGGATTTGGTTGCTAGAGTTTTATGGATGTTTTTACATGTGCATGCTTTAGGAATTTCAATCCATGTTGCTGAGTTTTTCAACATGCAGTTTCACAAAGAAATCGTGTTAAGACAATAGACAAGTAGATTTTCATGTTAGCTCCCACAAGTATTAGTAAAACTGCATTGATCGTGTTAGAATGCTAGACTGTTTTGAGGATTTGTCAGTTTGATTTGGTTTGTTAAAATTGTTTGGAGTTGTTTGTTCCTGTTTTATTTTGTACTGGTTGCACTTCTAATCTCTTGTCTCAGTTAATGCTTGAGATAATCACATATAATCACCGTCCCTGTGTTGTTGTAGGTGAGTTTACTGCACTCAAAGAGGAATGCTCAAGTCTTCGAAAGAGAATCCAAGCCATTGAGGCCGAGATGAAAATGTGAGTATTACCATGCCATTAAGATATGATGTCCGAAATGTCAGAAAATTTTGAAACTAAAGAATCTTTAGCATGAACATGTTATTAACTTTTGAACTTACTTATCTGCTTATTGCTAATTTTTGATCTTCACAGTTGAGTTAATTTTAAACCTAGAGGATCAAAAGTTGAGATTACTTAAACACTGATTTCAAAATTACAGTATATGTTTTTATTCCTAATAAACCTGTAAATGCACTGCATTTTCAATGTTAAGATACTGGTTACAACTTTGAAACATGCTTGTATTGTGACATTTCAGGTCACGTAAAGAGAACTTACAGCTGTCTGCAGAATACAACAAACTACAGGAGTCCTACCGACAGCTAGAGGTCACCAAGGAGCAGCTAGAGAGTCAGGCGTCAGCCTGGCAGTCCAACCTCACTGACTCCCAGAAAGAGACCGAGCAGACACGACAACAGGTGGGCGACGACACACAGCCAATCAGAGGTTTGGTAACAGCAGGGTCAAATGTCACAGGGTCACCGGGTCGACAGGTATTCCCAGGCTTGGTTATGTCGCATGGCTGGCTGGTTGGTGTGCGGTTTTCTGTTGTTAAAAAAATGCCCCCATTTGGTTTGGATTTCTTTTTTTCATTTATTCTTTTTCTAATATAGTAGTTTAAGCATTGCTGTAACAATTATGTCTACAATTAATAGAGTAGGACCTCTGCACTCACACATTGAGTAAAGAAATTGCCTAAAAAAAATTTTTTAATGTCATTTTTCATTTTGCTTAGTTCATTATTAAATATCTTATTTAGTTTCTGAATTAGATTGATTAAAGCTTTATGTTTTGACTCTTATGACAGTGGGCCTGTTATTGGGTAGATCTTTGGTTTACAGTAGAACACATCAGGCTTGGTTTGACCCTGCATGTTATCAACTTTGTCAAGATTTTATTTTTAAATTATTTTTTTTTTCACAGCTTATTTACAGCATGTGAAAATCACATTCTTAGTAGCAGAATTTTTTAATCAGATTAATAATGACAATGATTTAAATGTAAACAATAGACAATGCAAAATTTCTGTATGTTGAAACCAAAGTAAATCATTAACCTTTGACCTTTGACCCTGTTTGTTGTTATAGTTACAAGAGGCCACAGCTGAGGTGGCCAGCCTGAGGTCAAAGTGTCAGGAGTACAAGGACAGGGTCAGTGAGCTGGAGGTCGAGATGAGCCTTGTCCACGAGCAGTACAAACATTTGTCTGACCGGACCAAAGTGGTGAGTGTCAGGGGCCGGCTCAAAGGTCTCAAAACACACACTGTTACAGGGGGCATCTCACAAGAGTCTAGGAACATTAAGTATGGCTGTTGTATGAGAAATTATAAATCACACAGAGCATTAAGAAATTTACCTTAAAGTACATTGATAGGGGTGATTAAAAACATACAGCTTGATACATATTCAGTTTTATTGTCAATCTCAAAAGACAGCTACAAATAATTCTGTTCACATAATCTGAAAATCTTTAAAAAAAATTAAACCATTAATTAATGATCCGCATTAAATATACATAATACATTTTACTATTAAAAAATGTTTATACTTCTGTGCACCCACTGGCTTCATTCACTGTTAGTATTCAGTTTTAAAGTTCATCCTCAAGCATTGAACATTGACATACATGCATTTGAAAAGAAACAAAGAAAATAAACTTCTGTCCTGTTTTTTTTATTGTTTGGATGTGAAGCATTGTGGGGATTCTAACACAATCATGGCCTCATTCACAGTGCATATGCTTTCTGTTATTTTTTTTCAATTTCAAAAGCTTCAATAAAATTAAAAATACCTGGACAAACCTATGTTGTTATGTCATTGCAGTGGACATGTGTTTAAGTCGTGGGATGGAGAAATAAGTAGGTTATTTTAAATCAAAAGAGTGATGCCAGTGCATAAAGTTCACTAAGTGCATTAAGTTCATACTCGGTAAAACAAGGACATACTCGGCTTGTAATAGAATTGCTTGTTACCTGAACTTCCTATTTCAGATTACAGAAACGTGCAAGCTTGACTATTCTTCTTAAGTTTGTTGGTCTTGGTATGTCCAAATTAAAACTTTTAATTGTATGAGATGTAAGAAATTATGATCTATCTCCCTCTCTCTGCGTATGAGGGGGGATCCAGGAATGTGAATGTTCAATATCTCTGACAGTGAATGCATCTGGTAACAATCTCTGCATTTTAACTGTTTATCCTGATTATTTATATTTTTTACATATAATCAAAGTATTGAATAGTCTGGCTTAGCCCTGACATAATGAAATCTTTACCCCCCTATTGTCATCAGATGATCAGATCAACTTTCACTAGGTACATTATTAATCAGGCAACATTAATCCACCTACAGGATGATGTATTTACTTATTATCCACATTATTTCTTTAACCCATGTAAAATATCTTAACATTGTAATATATAAATAAATGACATTTACTCAAACTAACAAATAGTATCATCAGACATAGCAGTGTAAAAATATTTAATAGAGAAAAAAAGATTATTAAAACTCATAACCTTAACATTCATTTCATTTTGTAATATGATGTAAGAAAATATTTAAAACATATTAAAAGTGCATTTATTACTTACAGATTATGGTACCACTGATATGGATACTTGTTAAATGGAGCAAATACAGTTTATTTAAAAAAAAACCCACATTTTTTCTCATAATAAATAACAATCAAGCTGCAAAGCTGACTTTGTAAGAAAACTGTCGTAATCTAGCTAAAATGTTTTTTTTTCCTTAAAATTTACAGTAATTTGAGATTGAATTAAAATTCAAGAAATCCCAGTACATTAAAATTTAATACAACCCACTTGTCTAGATCAAATAGAATAAAGAAAACCATCTGCTTTTTATTGCAACATCTAACTTTTTTTGAGAATTTTATCATGTTTGTGAAGTAATCCCTCAGATTTAGAGTTATCTCTCTTTGATTAATCAAGTTTTAGAGTTATCTCCCTTTGATTAATTAAGTGTGAGAGTTATCTCTCTTTGATTAATTAAGTGTGAGAGTTATCTCTCTTTGATTAATTAAGTGTGAGAGTTATCTCTCTTTGATTAATTAAGTGTGAGAGTTATCTTTCTTTGATTTATCAAGTTTGAGAGTTATCTCTCTTTAAGAGAGGGAGGCAATTCTCCTTGATTCATTATATTACTCTAAGATACTGCATAATGTTTGACCTATCACTTATGACCTATTGACCTTGTGTTTCAGTTGTCCTTTGCCTCCAGTATACCCTTGTTGATGTTACTGTTTGCCATTCTGATGGCCCTGTATCCCACCCTGGCTCAGATCACCGCGACAACCGTCTGACATCATCATCAACAGGGGAGATCACTGCTGATTCACCCTCATCTTCATCCTCTGGGTGTTTGAATATATGCTGTCTGTGATGTTTAAACTGAAAATGATACAGATATATGTTTGTGCGAATGTGATGTATATATGTGTATGAAAGTTTTTGTTTGTTTGGTTTGTTAAAAAAGTTTAATGAGTTTATTGCATTTATTATATTTCATGTATATACGTTACTGTAAAGATTCTGTTTAAGTGGGAACTCAGTTGTGTTATATAGAAGGAAATTTGTAAATATTTTTTTCATATGGAATTTGTCTATGTTTCCAAACCCAACAAGGTAGCTTGAATCCTTTATTTTTCTGTGATAAAGTTAGTGCTAACAAGAACCACAGTGATGCTGTCAAAACCACAGGGCAATAAACATTGTAAACAAGTGTCAATATAGTCAAACTTCAGGATTCCTTAATCTTCATAATCCCAGGTATTGCAGAACTGATATAAGTTTTAATGTGCCAGACCTTTTCGCATTGTTCACTTTATTCTGGTAATAGAATTCCTAATCTGACGGTATTTGTTTAGGAAACCAAGAATGTTAAATAGAGAAATTTTTACAAGAAGTGATGTATTTCACTTTCTCTCTGTTTACATGTACTAATATTTCATAGGGAGTGAAATATATATCAGTGTATATATTTCACAAGTAGAGCTGCATTTTAACTCTTATGATAGCTATTGAAGAGTTTCAATATGAAGAACTTATTTATTTTAAGGTAGATTTTGTCTCAGCAGGGCTCTCCCTATAAAGAGGCTAGAATGTAAATATTTAGAACCAAGAGTGTGAATTAGTGTGCTTGATTATGCCCCCTTTCAAAACCAAATTACAGAATGATGGAAATTAAAAGCTAATATAAAATAACATCCATTTGTGTAACACTTTGTCAAATTTGCTCAAGTTTTTAAAGAAAGCTGGAATTATTTTCTTCTTGCATTTATTGTTCTCAAAAATATTTTTCTTTCTTTTCTATTCTTTTCTTTTTTTTTTTTTACAAACACAAAACTCTACTAATGAATGTTTACCAGTAGCCCAATATAGCTGACAGGTTAACTATTTCGCAAACGGCTAAATATTTAATGTGCAGATTCTTTTCAGTATTTTTCCTTCAGATTTTAAAATGTTTTTCACCACACCTGTCTAAGCTTGATAGGGCACCTTATACTTGCGTCTTCCTGTGTCCAGACAGACCAAACGCCCTTAATGTCCTTGTCTGCTTTTCTTTTGTACCCCTAAGTCACCTTCCCAGAGAAGGCGCCCTAGAAGGGGAATTTTTTCGTACTTTTATGTCTCTGGTGATTTCTGTTTGATCTGCTTTTCATATGATGTTTCGTTTTCATGAAAAAAAAGCTTTCACGTCATCCAAACCTAGAATCACCAAGATCTGAGCTACATGCAGCTGTCTTTTGTTTTGATTTCCCCACCCTCGCCCCATTGCTGTGTGTGTGATGAGAGTGTGAATATGTACATAGGTATATAATAATATAAGATAATATATATATATACTAAGACCATTGTACATAGGTAGCAAAACCAGAAATGTCACATGACCTAAAATGTCAACCAATAAGCAGATTTGTCTCATTGTACAAGAACCAATCAACATAGTTGTCTCATTGTACAGTATTTAAAAGAAGTCCACCAATCAGTAGGGTTTTATTGTTGTTGAAGGGATTACATCCAATCAAAAGAACTGCATTCTTTCACAATAAATAATGGTTTCTTTGTCCAACATTTGTCATTCTTCTTATTCAGCCTAACACTAGTACCATTAACAAGAATTATATTAGACTATACTAAGCCTCTTCTATACTTGGCAGAAAGTTCTAGTTATTGCATTAACATATTTTGAATATTTTTTAGGAGACAGGGTATGGTTAGTTTGTCTAATTTTGTTAATTGGGATGATTATTTTCTGATTCGTCAGAACATGTGCAACCCTCATTTCTGTATTTATATGTTAACTTGAGACAGGGACTCTGCTATTGTATGAATTCTAGGAATGTGACAGAAATCTGGAGAAATTTGTATAAACACCATTTAATAATTTGATTTGTTTTTTATTACTTCAAATGTTGACAATAAAGCTATGCAGATATGCAGTTTCGTTATATTTTCTCAAAAATCAATGGATTGGATTACTCTGTCATAATTGAATGAAAATGCCCCATGTGATGGTAGGCTTTGGAATTATTAACACTTGTAATGAGATGCTAAAAGCTAGGAACTGTCCAGTGGAAGGAGTGCCCACCCAAAGAGGGGCTAAATGATCCCAATATCTGGAGAATTCAGTGTGAAGACTGCATGAGGAGACGAATTTTGTCTTCAGAACTGTCTTTTACAAAATGTAGCATATCAGAAACAGCAAAGATGTTAACTCATACATCAGTGAATCTATTAATGACGCTCTGGTCGATGTCTAGAATTGACTCTAGGCTTCAATGTTGAGTCAAATTAAAGAAGCAGAAAGAGCAAATTGGTAAATGATAAATGAGTTTATTTACATAATTAATGTTCAAAAATGAAATGATGATTAAAATTAAATTGTTATGTGAAGAAAAAAAAAGGAATGAAGGAAATGTGACTAAAACGCCACTATAACGAATGAGATTTTATATGGAAAAAAAGCAGAAATGAAAAAAATTCATCTTTATAGTGTAGATGTAATGATGATGATGACAAGATGATGGTTGTTGATTAGGCAACAAAAGTCATGAATTGACACAGTCACAGCTTCTTCCATTTTGTCACTGACAGTTCCAAGTTTCCAGTAATTAGTTCACATCCATGAACTTAATCATAAAGAAGTCCTCTGGGTCACGCTGTACACGTAGCAGCTTCTTCAGATTTGTGGTCATCCTCTCCACAAAGTTGGACTTTTTGAACCGGAAAGTGGAACCTAGCTTCTGTGACAGCGGGTCCTTGTTCTTGGCCAAGAAAGTTCTGGTTTTACTGAAGTGGCGCTGAAATCTCTTGATCTGGAATAACATAGGTTAAAATATATATATTGACTTACAACTGTGTCTGAATCTTGATTAATGATATGCATATGCAGAAAAACTATTTGAATTGGTGTTGTAGATTTAAGTATAGTTATGTTGCTAGTGAATACTTACATTAAAAATTGTTTCCTCGCTGTCTTCTAGAATTCTCTGATAATTTTCAGCTGCTTTTGTGTTTCCTGAACAAATAAGATACAATATATTATTGTTAAATACAACAAATGATTGAAATTGATGTAAGCTGTACATGTGCATTACTGTTTCACAAGTCAAAATTTGAGGGGAAAAAAAATGAAACTATTGGGCAATGTTGTTCATTAAAATTAAAATTGAAAAGTTGAAAATGTATTGAGATCGCAATAGAAATCATAATTTAAAAAAGTCTTCTTTGATTTGAATTTATAATGGCCTTTATATATACATTACGTACCCTTTTTAGCCAGATTCAGTAGGTGCTGGTCCCACATTCTTTGAAGTGTAGTTAGGTCTTTAGCCGTCACGGAATTCTTCATTAGATCTTCCATAAACAAGAAGGCAAACAAAACGTACTTCTTTTGTTGATCTATAAATGAATAAAACAGTTAATTTTTTTATGTCATTTTCATGATAGAATGAATAGATTAGCACATTGGTACATGTAGGGTCTATAGGAAATGTTAGGTTAATCAGTATCTTACCAGCGACGTCTTTCTCGTTGGAATAAGAAAATCCAGCATCTTTGCTTGTCGTTTCCTCCCCGTACAGAAACAACAAGATTTGAAGAATATTCTTTCTCTGGAAAAAATGAAAGAAAAGGTTAGATTCTTCCTTGCTATAATATTTTTTAAAAAGTGTTTTTGTCCAGTTATTACTGATAATTTTCTCCCCATAAGTTACTTATTTATTTTTTTTCATTTCATATTGTATTCATAACTGATAATATTGCCAATAGTATCATTTATTATAATACATCCAAACATTTTTATGTTTCCTCATGCTGCACAATCTCACCGCAGCTCTGTTTTTGCTGTGATAAATTCAAATAAAATCAACACCGTTGTTGAGATGAAAAATGTCATTTATTAAAATGACGAAATAAGAAAAAATATATACAATACATGATAGGGGATCAGAACAAAAGGTAATCGCACAAATACATATTAATATACGATCCCCTAAATTTACAGATAAACAATATTTGCAAAAAATATAAAAACATTAGGTATACAGCAAAAAGATGGCACTACAAAAATAAATATGCCAATGTGTCAAATGTAATTTGTAAATCAATTTAAAACATATAAATGCAAGGTAGGAAAAGCTGGGGTGGTGGTGGGTGTGCCAAATTTTTTGCTGTTATTGATAGCGTCAACAAAGCGAGAATGACCCAGCGCTGACTGGTCAGTTACAGACAGCATCAAAACACGTGATTATAATGGACAACTCTGATTGGCTGCCTGTCTGCGAAGGGGTTGGTTTGACCATGGAAAATTTTGGAGTTTAACAAGCAGCCGAAAAAGAAAAACTGGGGAAAATTACATAACATGGAACCCGACACTTGAAAGGCCTGGGAGAATTCCAGCGAATGGAGAAAATCAAAACATTGAGTTTGAACAACAAAATAGAACATCTAATTACTTACATTTAGACAAAAGAAATTAAAAAAACAGCATTCAACACATAAATGAAATTATTTACATAATTGTTGTTTTATGTTTCCTCATGCTGCACAATCTCACCGCAGCTCTGTTTTTGCTGTGATAAATTCAAATAAAATCAACACCGTTGTTGAGATGAAAAATGTCATTTATTAAAATGACGAAATAAGAAAAAATATATACAATACATGATAGGGGATCAGAACAAAAGGTAATCGCACAAATACATATTAATATACTGATCCCCTAAATTTACATCCAAACATAAACAATATTTGCAAAAAATATAAAAACATTAGGTATACAGCAAAAAGATGGCACTACAAAAATAAATATGCCACCGAATGTGATTGACGAACATAATTTGGCAAGCTCATTGATCCAAACATTTTAACAATTAAAGCTTACCACAGGTGACATCGTCCTCGAGTTTGTTTTTAATACATATTTTAGTAAGCTTGATCTCAAGCGTTGTTCAAATGTCTTTTCCCCTTGTCTCTCCATTTTTGCAATCTAAGAATGTTTTGTAATTTGTCTTCGAGTGGCACTTTGTACACAAATCAAATCAATGGTTCGCAACCTTTGTGACGTCAGTGTACTATGATGTCATGCTATTATGACGTCATCAAAACTTTCAGAAATAGTCGGGAGAAGTTGTGACTTGAACATTTCCGGAAAAAAGGCTTTTACTCGTATCGGAACGATTTGAGCAGAGCAAACATGAACCTCCAAAACATCAGAGAGGGATCGGGTGCCATGGAGGAGTGAGCATCCCCTGCCGACCGGTCACACCCGCCGTGTGCTCCTTGTCATGATCGGGAAATAACAGAAAAATCCGTCGTCAATTCAGTATGTAAAAAATGGATTAACAACAAGTATGAAAATCGTTAGTCAGCATTACTTTGAAAGAAAATATATTTCTTTCTTTTCAATTTTCTTTTTTTTCACAAACATTATACTCTAATTATGAATACGAGTGTTTACCAGTAGCCCAAAATAGCTGACATGTCAATATGTTGCAAAGAGCTAAATTTTCAAACTGCAGAATTTTTTAAAGTATTTTTTCTTCAGGTTTTGAAATGTTTTTCACTTCAGGGGGCACCTCAACCTCGAGTCTTCCTGTGTCCAGACAGATAACAAGTCCTTATTGTCCTGTCTGCTTTTCTTTTTATATACTCCTAAGTCACCTTCCCAGGGAAGGGGCCCTTGAAGGGGAATTTTTTTGTAATTTAATGTCTTTAGTGATTTCTGTTTTATCTGCTTTTCATATGATGTTTCGTTTTCATGAAAAATAAAAGCTTTCATGTCATCCAAACCTAGAATCACCAAGATCTGAGCAACATACAGCTGTCTTTTGTTTTGATTTCCCCATTGTACATAGGTAGCAAAACCAGAAATGTTTCATGACCTAAGATGTCAACCAATTAGCAAGGTTGTCTCATTGTAAACAGCCAATCAACAGAGTTGTCTCATTGTACAGTATTTTTGAAAAGCATCTAGCAATCAATAGGATCTTCTTCTTATTGATTGATTGATTGATTGTATACTGTTTAACGTCCCTCATCAGAATATTTCACTGATATGGAGACGTCACCATTGCCGGTGAAGGGCTGCAAATTTAGGCCTATGCTCGGCACTTACGGCCTTTGAGCAGGGGGGGATCTTTATCGTGCCACACCTGCTGTGACACGGGGCCTCGGTTTATACGGTCTCATCCGAAGGACCTCCCCATTTAGTCGCCTTTTACAACAAGCAAGGGGGTACTGAGGACCCACGGGGTTCTTCTTATTGAAAAGATTTCATCCAATCAAGAGAACTTTATTCTTTCACAATAAATAATCAATGTTTCTTTTTTTCTAGCATTTGGATATTATAAATCTGGTCATTTTCTGTATTCAGTATCAGCACCATAAAAAAGAAATTTATATCCTTCAATACATACCAGAAACTCTATTGCATTAACCCATATAGAATGACAGTTAACCTAATTTTGTGAAATGGATGATAATTTCTTTAATTGTTAGTACACTCTGTACATGTACCAACTTTATTTTCACATTCATTTTGAGACTGCTAATAGACATGATATTATATGGATTCTAGGAATGTGACATAAATCTGGAGAAATTTGTATAAACACCATTTAATAATTTTATTTTTTTTTATTACTTCTAATGTTGACAATAAAGCCATGCAGATATGCAATTTTGTCACTTTTTATTTCATTACTCGGTCATAATTGATAATAAGAGGCAAAATGTTTCATTAATGCAAGAATATCTTAACAAATAAGGCCCATGGGCCACAATCCTCACCTACCGGTAAGTCAATTTGGCCCATCAGATGTTCCTCCTTGTAATACTTTGATTCGATCCCTTTTGTGACCCCACCCTGATCCTGGTGCAATGATTAGAAAAATTCTTAAGTGTTGGTCTTTCAATATGGTTTAAAAACAAAATCCTTGTAAAACATTGATTCCATTATTTGTGCATGGCCCTTCCATACCCCAGGGGATCATGATCTGAACAAACTTGAATTGAGGATACTATAATGAGAACCTCGTAAGTTGTTAGAACTTGTGTTCAGACCATTTGTATAGTATTTATTCAATAAAATATGTTCAAACCAAACGTAGACGTACACTGTCATCTGCTTAACCTCTCTAATATGACTAAACAGGTCTTTGATCTTGAGAAGAAGATTTATAAATATTTTTCCATACACTGTTAACATATTATATATGTATTTGGCTGTGTATTCTTTGTAGGCTTTTAGCGGCTTTGGCGGGACCCAGCAATCGCTAAATCAAGAACAACGCTATTTGTCTTTCACATAATTACACATACATGTAATTAAGAAAATGAAGAAATGCACTTAATCAAATGAACGCCAACCTATTCAAAAATCAGTTTCCACCAAATATTGTGCAAACTAAATATAATACATTTTACAGTATATTTTATGTAAAACTTGAACAAATGTTCGGTTTACTTTATGCATAATATGGCCCTGGATATATACCAATTGATTAATTAACACTTGATTTTCCATTTGAAGCACTTAAATAAAATAGAGATTTAGTGCTTTCATTTCCTATTAAAGATTTTCTCCTAAAAGTCTTGGAGAACTGCAGTGGCTTTATGAAACTGCAATGTTCTTGAATTTTAAGGTAAACAGGTATAATTGAGTACTTTCAGTGAAGAAAAATAATATGAGCGCACTCTTTAATCTAAAAAATGAAACATGTCTTTTAATTTCCAGAAACAGTTCTATCATTTTGTAGTTGCATATTTTAGAGCAGAGGTTGCGCTCTATATTAAATATCGAAAAATAGCTTTAAAAATTGGCCATTTTTGGCTCACCTGAGCCGGAGGCTCAAGTGAGCTTTTCTGATCACATTTTGTCCGTCGTCCGTCCGTCTATCTGTCCATCTGTAAACTTTTCACATTTTCGACTTCTTAAGAACCACTGAGCCAATTTTGATCAAACTTGGTACAAAGCATCCTTGGGTAAAGGGGAATTAAAATTGTTAAAATGAAGGGCCAAGTCCTCTCCCAATGGGAGATAATCAAGAAAAGACAAAAATAGGGTGGGGTCATTAAAAAAACTTCTTCTCAAGAACCACTGGACCAGGAAAGCTGAAACTTATGTGGAAGCAATCTTGGGTAGTGTAGATTCTAAATTTTTCAAATCGTGATCCTCGGGGGTTGGGCGGGGCCACAATGGGGAATCAAATTTTTACATAGAAATATATAGGAAATTTTTTTTAAAAAATCTTCTCAAGAACCACTTGGCCAGAAAAGCTGAAACGTATGTGGAAGCATCCTTGGGTAGTGTAAATTCTAAATTGTTCAAATCATGACCCCCGGGGGTTGGGCGGGCCACAATAGGGAATCAAAGTTTTACATAGAAATATATAGGTAAATTCTTTAAAAATTTTCTTCTAAAGAACTACTGGGACAGGAAAGCTGAATCTTATTTGGAAGCATCCTCGGGTAGTGTAGATTCTAAATTGTTCAAATCGTGACCCCCGGGGGCTGGGCAGGGCCATAATAGGGAATTTGAATTGTCCAAATTAAGACCCTTGGGGTACAATGGGGTCATAATAGGTATTACAAGGGGGAAATCTGGTTAAGAATCACATGGTCAAAACTTTTCAGGTGAGTGATGTGGCCCATGGGCCTCTTGTTTTAGATTTTCAGAATAAGAGGAAATTGGCGCATTTCGTGACATCACAATGCATTGACTAGCCAGAAAATTGCGTCATTTTTGATAGATACACTGTATTCAAAGACCTAGTAAGTGATATTCAATGCATTGTTAACTAAACCTATTCAGCTTTTCAGAAATTCACAGGGCCAAATATTAAGGCAAAAGTAAACCTTGTTATTTGAATCTACACTATGTAAAGGTTTCCTAAACTAAGTTTCAACTTTTTTTTGCCCAGTCATTCTAAATTTTCAATATTTCCCAATACCATATTTCCCGTTGAAGGAGGGCTCAGTGGTTCATGAGAAGAAGATTTTTAAAACATGCTAGCAAATTTTCACTATTTTCTAGCCTAATTATCATCCGTTGAAGGAGGGTGTGGCCCTTCATTCAATCATTTAGGAGGTAGAGAATGTACACATACCCTACTATCAACAACCCAATTTACTTCGTAACATCCACTACATGAAATGCTGTATAATTATATTGTTTTGAAATGATAATCACGTTATTGAAATAATAATTCCTGATAAAATTTAGAATTTATTCAAGTCCAAAAGTACAAAATCAAAAATGACATTTTAACATAAAATTTCCAAAAGTGAGAGTGAATTAAAGACAAACTCACGCTCGTCTCATCTTTGACAACTCCTCCCACATTTCATAAATGAACAAATGAAACAAGTTTAAAGACAGTAGTGAAGTTAGGGGAAAACTCAATGACATTAATTTATAACACAGGAAACAATTTGAGTAAACATAACAAAGGAACACCGTCTAAGATCTGACCATAAACCTGATAACAATTATGAGCTAATAGCATCAATACCCGTGGGATGGAGAAAGAGATGTCAAGTTAGAGAAATTACAAACACGTTCAGCAGTGCACTTTCCAAAGATCAAATAAAACAATTAATTTTCATTCATATCATCATTAAATTATTTAAACAATGCATAAATCATAAGTACATCTAAGAACACTAACAATTGACATGCAGTTTTAAATATTTAACAAGATAAAGACAATCATAAAACACATACATACACAAAATGTTAAACAAAATGACAATGAAGAAAACGTAATATGTAATACATGTACAAGAAGAAGAATGCAGTCTAGTTATGAAATCAGCAGTCATACCTTGATAACAATTATAAAAAATTGTTCACAAAATCACAAATATGGTTGTTCAAAGTATAACCTGTATGGAATAATACATCCTCGGTTAGAATAAACCATTATATAATGTACCTCTTTAAAATATGTATATAAGTTAAAATAAAGATAAATCATATTATTATACAGTTTTCAGCTACAATAGAATTGCATAAGGTATAATCCTGTCAGAATAAATCATCAAAAGCAATTCTTATATCAAACCAACATAAAATTTGCATGTTACATTGTACATGAAAACCAATAATATGTGTTTGCACAATCATTGCATAATTCTAACCCTCTCAATACAATTGTGATTTGTGTAATAAATAGTAAACTTTGTCAATGAGTACATTTTTGTTTACTCAACAAAAACAAATTGTATATAACATGTATAATTATAAATCAAATACTTTCCACACCTTACATTTCTTCTGTTTACAAAAATATTTGGAAAGCTGTAATCCTTTTGGAATAAAACATACAAAAATCCTTTTGGAATAAAACATACAAAAATATTTGGAAAGCTGTAATCCTTTTGGAATAAAACATACGTGATTACATACAATAAAATATCATACACTGTAAATTAATACAGTTCAAAAGTATCAAAACAAACATATTTTTCAATTAACCAACAAAAAAATCATATATCAACAGAATACATAAACATGCAATTTTTTTTCAATGTTTTCTGTTTTAAAATTTTTTTTTATCGAGTGTTCATAAACATTTTGATACATTATCATGATTACCGGTATAAATTATTAAGACGTCATAAATTAGTGTATACGCAAAAAAGTCTTTTAACTCAAATCTGTATATCTTAGTAAAGGTGTACTTCATTAAAAGCATCTTCAAGCGATTGGTTCTCTTCATCAAGTACATCATTAGAAGGTTCTGAAAAAGTAAAACACCACTTTAGCTTCAAAAATTACATTTTCATTAAACTGAGTCATTAGGAGTTCTAAATGATGATATGAGAACATCAGGATATACTGATTATAATACTTATAATACCAAGATTACTTTAAATCCATGACAAGTTTTGCTCTTAAAAGGTTCTCATGAAATACACTGTACTTAGTTTATGCAAATTATGCAGGTAGAATTTAGTACATGGTAGAAAATATTTAACATGAAAGAAAACAGTTTTATTTTCCTTTGATACTAACCACTATTCTTTCCTGCCCTGGCTTTGATGGAGGGTGTAGGTCCACTGTACACTCCCTCTGTAGAAGTCATAGTTTGGACTAAAATAGATTAGAATAGAATAGAATTAGAATAGATATTATAAAATACTGTAAACCAACTTTTATTCGCGACGGCTTTCTTTCACAATTTACCAGGAGTTAACTAGTTCGCGATGATTAATTTTCGCAATGAAGCCGTTTTGGAACTAATTTTAATAGAAATTCAAAAAAAGACTTTAAGGACCCGTTCCCAGCGAGATATATTCGTGATGACGAGGCTCTCGCGAAACTCAAGAAAATTTCATGCACACGAATAAAAGTTGGTTTACAGTAGATAAACTTTCACAGATTTTTTACACACTTTGTTAATGTACCTGTTAAGACATTCATCAAGTCCTCAACCTCCGTTAGATTCATGCGCTCTGCAGGGTTGTGATTTAGCAGGCTTTCTACAATTTTTTTAACATTTTCATATTTTTCAGGAAGTTTACTCAAAATGCTGAAATCCTGTTTACTCAGCTTTTCAATGGCTTCCATTCTGTCCTGTCCAAAGCCCATGTGGTGCATTTCAAAAAGAATTATTCCTAGGCTATAGTGGTCAATTTTTTTGTCATATGGAGTTTTATTTTTAACTTCTGGTGCTACATATAGGGTAATTCCTAACTTCTTAGAAAAATTATTTTCTGTTTCCGACATTGGAGATTTTCCATCATCCCCAGATGTAGGGGCCCAGAGGTAGCTCCTTGCTAATCCGAAGTCTCCAATCTTTGCTCTATTGTGTTTGTCAAGCAGAATGTTATCAGGTTTTAGATCCCTATGCATGCAGCCTTGACTGTGTAAGTAATGGAGACCTGATGTAATATCCAAACATATGTTGCGCTTTTGGCTGTCATCAATTCTGTGCACTTCTTGAATTTTATCATCAATCAGTGTTCTCAAATTCTTGCAGCATAGCTCCATTTGGATAACAAGACAGGCATCATTAATATCCTCATTACTTTTACCACTAGATGTGGACTTGCCACCATTTGAACCATTATCCTCACAAGAAGATGAATGTTCAAAACTTATACTTCCTGAACTTGATTCTCCTTTATCTTCATTTAACTCTTGAGAAAATGGAATAATCCAACAAGTATGGTATCGGACTATGTTCTTATGATCCAATGATGACAAAATTTCTACTTCACGTTTTCCAAATTTCTGAGAGTTGATAATTACAAATTTAAGTGCATATTCTTTACTGTCAATTCTGTGCTTAGCTTTAAGTACAGATCCGAATGCACCAGCTCCAATTCTATCAATTATTTCAAAAGTATCTTTTACACTTGGATCATCCAGGCACTGTTTTACTTCTTGGTCACAGCAATCATCAGAATTGTCTTTAACCTCCTTGTGATTAGATTCATCTTTAAATCGGTCCTCCTCTTGTGAGATGTAACTGACCAAGGCATTGTTAGAGGTTCCCAAACTGAACATGCTGAAAGACAAGGAAAAAAAAGAGACAATTTTGAATTCTGTAGTGAAACCAGAAGTCTCTGTTGAGACTGAAGCTCTACTGGTTTGAACTTATAGCAAAGGAAGAGAAAAGTACTTAAGCAGCTGGGATTTGAAACTAAATAGAATAATGATCGTTGATAAAGTCTCTTTATGTTCTTAGTGTAGTCTACTTGTGTGCCAAGTTATATTGAAATCAGACCAAAACTGTAGGAGGAGTAGCATTTTGAAACAATTTTACAGATATTTCTATTTTTATAACCACGGCAACACCGTTCATCAAAATTAAAATTCGATACAAGCTTAAAACAGAATTATGTATCTTAGTGTATTCTACTTATGTGCCAAGTTATATTGAAATCAGACCAAAACTGTAGGAGAGAGTAGCATTTTGAATTTCAAAAAAAACAATTTCACAGAAATTTCTATTTTTAGTAACCTTGAAAACGGCAACACCGTTCATCGAAATCAAAAACCGATATACAGAATTATGTATCTTAGTGTAGTCATTTTAAAAAAATCTTGTGTGCCAAGTTATAATGAAATCAAACCAAAACTGTAGGAGGAGTAGCATTTTGAAAGAATTTCACAGAAATTTCTATTTTTAGTAACCACGGCAACACCGTTCATCAAAATCAAAAACCGATATACAGAATTATGTATCTTAGTGTAGTCTACTTGTGTGCCAAGTTATACTGAAATAACAGTTTTTTTCAGACTTACATTGTGTAAACTGTATTAGGAGGTGGAAAAGTAGCATTTTAAAAGAATTTCACAGAAATTTCTATTTTATAGTAGAAAAAACCACGGCAACACCGTTCATCGTTAATAAAAAAAAATCAAAAACCGATATACAGAATTATGTATCTTAGTGTAGTCTACTTGTGTGCCAAGTTATATTGAAATTAGACCAAAACTGTAGGAGGAGTAGCATTTTGAAAAATTGTTTACAGACATGACGGAGAGACGGACAGTCAGAAACAATTTCACAGAAACTATTTTTAGTAACCATGGCAACACCGACGAAATCAAAAACCGATACACAGAATTATGTATCATACTGTAGTCTACTTGTGTGCCAAGTTATAATGAAATCAAACCAAAACTGTAGGAGGAGTAGCATTTTTTAACCACGGCAACACTATCGCATAAGCTCTTCTGTGTCTCTGACCAGTAGTAACAACACGGCAACGATATATAGAATTATGTACTTAGTCTAGCTCAAAAACGGATGGACGGACGTTAATCAATCACCATCGCATATAAAATATGCAAAATATGACAATGCTTTAAAAGTCTTGTTCTCTTTTAGTTCTATAATTTCTCAGTATGTGTTTTTTTAGTATCATCACAATGAAATTCGCACTGGTAATAAGTAAATTTCCAAATCAAAAATCATAATTAACCCCTGTCTTTTTGTCTTTCTGTCTCTCAATGTTCTTTATCTAAGGAAGGTAGGGGTTTTTTATCAATTATTTTTTTAATATTAATATAACAAATAATTCAGATGTCTGTGAAATGACACTGCATCTATTTTGCTGACCCCCCACCCCCACCCCCGCTCTGATTCTCCCCAAAAGCAGGGGTTAGAGTCCGACTATTTTGCTTGCCATGTTTCCCGGTTTGTCCTAGCTGTTTAGATTTAACATGAAAACAAAAAAGTTTACAAATAACAATCATCACAACATCAAATTCTCTGTCGATACCCCATATGTTATCTCTATTTTATTCTCTTTTGAGAATTGGACATGCATTTCGAGAAAGAATGATTTGAACATGTTGGCTATCTGTATTGGTACGTTGAATCAGCCAATCCAATCCCAGAGTTTAATCGACGGAAAATGATAAAATTAATGTTGAGCATTGCACGAATACTTACTTGCTTTGGGTGTTGAGTCTATTCCACTAGAAAAGTTGTACAATACGATCACGTTGTGCAATAATCAGCTAGGTTTCGGTTTCGTATAGTAAAATTAGTAAAATGTACACCACACCCGATCTTAATTTCAATATTTTAGCAGATATTTATCAACATTATTATATATAATAAATAGATTATTGAGATTTATATTTAATATATGAATAAATATGAAGGAAAAGGGAGCCTAACCCGTGTAAAAATCACAAGCACCTGATGTATGGATAGTGTAATCTCCCACCCCCACCCTTTTTCTGCACACTTCATATATTCCGAAATCATTAAAAACCGTTTTTTTTTACCCCCTTCCGCTTGAAAAGGGAGGGTATATAGAAATCGGTATATTCGTCCGTCTGTCTGTTATGCTCTGGGGTACCCATCTCTTATCTGCAACTCCTCTTAAACCACTAAGTGAAATTTAATGAAACTTTCACAGTCTCTTTATTACATGCATTCAAGCGCGAATTCAGGATTTTTTCAGGGGCGGGGGAGGGGCATCCCCAGTCAACAAATTTCCTACCCAGAAATGTCTTGACAAGAAAACAAAACAAAACAAGTTAAACAAGAGACATACGTCTTTGTTAATATTTGTAATACAAGAAATAAAATGAATTTAAAAAAGGAAACTATATTATACTCTTCCATGGTTTCTTGAATTCATTTCTGATGGCAATTTTAACTGGAAGTACCGACTACCGACTCCCGCAAAAAAGTTGATGTTGGAATCTATCTTTCAGATACGTACTCCGGAACGTTGCTTTGGACGATGAGCTATATACAGGAGCTTCCCACCGAAAAAACCGTATATTTATTTCGCACAAAATGTGTGCTATTGCGATGTATTTCTCCGTGTTTTTCAAATTGTCATCTCAAAATATTACTAACCGTGTGATCCTTACATATTTTTCTTTCACTCAATCACTGTTTCCACAACAAACATTCCTAATAACTGTTGTTAATAGTTCTCCTGGACCTAACATTGACATGATTGAGATGATCGAATTTTTTTTTTAACTGCCAATTTTGTTTGCAATTCAAGATAATTACAGGCACCTGAAGTATGGATAATACCCCCCCCTTTTTTTAATGAATAAAATGTAAGAGTGTCTAATATCTCAAAAATATAAAATTTCCCGGTCAAACACATCTATATGTCGTTATATGCAAGCAGATTGTACTTTTTCTCACGTTTAAAGAATGACCCTATTCGGTATAATAAAAATACACTTTGATTGCTGATCAATTGTCATAAATGACAGTTTGAAGTTCCTCCTTTTTGTCACTAGCTGACAGTTGTTTCCACAAATTAGTTCACATCTTGGAACTTAATCATAAAGAATTCATATTTGCCACCCTGAATTTGTTCGTAATCTGGAACTTGATTATAAAGAAACCCTCTGGGTCACGCTTTACACGTATCAGCTTCCTCAGATTTGTGGTCATCCTCTCCACGAAGTGTGACTTTCTGAAAGTGGAGCCTAGCTTCTGTGGCAGCGGGTCATTGTTCTTAGCCAAGAATTCCCTGATGTCACTGAGTCGATGCTGACTCTCTTGATCTGTATTTAGTCTATTTACATAGGTTAAAATATATATTGGCTTACCTACTACTGTGTCTGAATCTTTATTAATGAGATGCATGCAGAGAAATTATTATTATACCCCCGTTTGAAAAGTGTGAGGGTATGTAGTAATCGTGATGTCCGTCCGTCTGTCCGTTACGCTTTGGCATCTCTTATCTGCAACTCCTCTCCTACCACTGAATGAAATTTGATAATACTTTCACAGAATATTTATTACATATTGCCATTGTGCACCTCCTATTTTACTTTTTTTTTGATCCGACACATATTTTGGGTTTCCCATAGCAAAACATGGACACCGCGCCATTATATTCATATGGGAGGCGGGGTATCATTTAGTTAGCTCATTGCTAACAGTACCTCTTTGGTTTTTTTTCATTACTTCAAATGTTGACATAAAGCTTTGCAGATACTTGTATATGCAATTATTTTTATACTTCTCAAAAATCAATGGATTACTCTGCCATAATATATAATAGAATGAGAATGTCCCACCACAAGGATACATGTACCTTGTAAACTGAAGGCTTTGGAATTATAAACGCTTGTATTCATACAAGAGATGCAGAAAGCTAGAACCTGATCGACATGTAAAGCTAGGGCCTGGCCTGCAAAGTTAGAAACTGTCATGTAAGCTAGGATATGTCCTGTGAAGCTAGAACATGTCCTGTAAAAGCTAGGACTCGACATGGATAGCGAGAACATGTCATGTAAGCTAGGACCTGACATGTAAAGCTAGAACCTGTCTTGTAAAGCTAGGACCTGACATGTAAAGCTAGAACCTGTCTTGTAAAGCTAGGACCTGACATGTAAAGCTAGAACCTGTCTTGTAAAGCTAGGACCTGACATGTAAAGCTAGAACCTGTCTTGTAAAGCTAGAACCTGTCCTGTAAAGCTAGGACTCGACATGGATAGCGAGAACCTGTCCTGTAAGCTAGGACCTGACATGTAAAGCTAGAACCTGTCTTGTAAAGCTAGAACCTGACATGTAAAGCTAGAACCTGTCTTGTAAAGCTAGAACATGTCCTGTAAAAGCTAGGACTCGACATGGATAGCGAGAACCTGTCATGTAAGCTAGGACCTGACATGTAAAGCTAGAACCTGTCTTGTAAAGCTAGGACCTGTCATGTAAGCTAAGATCTGTCCTGTAAAGCTAGGACCTGTCATGTAAAGCTAGGACTTGCCCTGTAAAGCTTGGACCTGTCTTGCTAAGCTTGGACCTGGCCCGTAAAGATAGGACCTTACCTGTAAAGCTAGTGCCCACCCAAAGAAGGGGGCTAAATAATCCCAATATCTGGAGATATCAGTGTTATAACTGCATTAGGAGCCACATTTTGTCTTCAGAACTGTCTCTTACAATATTTAGCATATCAGATTCGTGCAACATGTTAAGTTATACATTATTCAATCTATTAGTGACTCTCTGGTTTAGAGTTGACTCTGTGGGTTTCATTATTGAGTCAAAGAAGCAGAGAGAGCAAATTGGAAGGTGATCAATGAGTTTATTTACATAAATTATTTGTTCAAAATGAAGATGGATACGATTAACAAATAAGTGTGTAATGTTAAAAAAAAGGAATCATGGAAATGTATGTGACTAAAACGCCACTATAACAAATGAGATTCTCTGTGGAAAAAAAAAAGAGTGAGGAAAAAAATATTACATCTTTTATATTTAGAGTGTAGATGTAGTGATGACAATGATGATGGTTGTTGATCAGGAAGCAAAAGTCATGAATTGACACAGTCCCAGCTTCTTCCATTTTGTCACTGTCCCAAGTTCCCAGTAATTAGTTCACATCCATGAACTTGAGCATGAAGAAATCGTCTGGGTCACGCTGTACATGTAGCAGCTTCTTCAGTTTTGTGGTCATCCTCTCCACCAAGTGTGATTTTCTGAACCGGAAAGTGGAGCCTAGCTCCTGTGGCTGGGGGTCCTTGTTCTTGGCCAAGAAAGTTCTGGTTTTACAGAGTTGACGTTGAAATCTCTTGATCTGGAATAACATAGGTTAAAATATATATATTGACTTACTACTGTGTCTGAATCTTGATTAATGCATTTAGGAAAATTATTTGAATTGGTGTTGTAGGTTTAAGTATAGTTATGTTACTAGTAAATACTTACATTAAAAATTGTTTCCTCGCTGTCTTCTAGAATTCTCTGATAATTTTCAGCTGCTTTTGTGTTTCCTGAACAAATAATATACAATATATATTATTGTTAAATACAAGAAATGATTGAAATGTGATATAAGCCGTACATTACTGTTTCACAAGTCAAAATTTGAAAAGAAAGTAAACTTTTGTGCAATATTGTTCATTAAAATTAAAATTGAAAATGTATTGAAATCGCAATGTGCATGAAACCATAATTTAAAAAAGGTCTTCATTGATTTGAATTTATAATTGGCCTTTATATACAAACATACCACTGTTGGCCAGATTCAGTAGGTGCTGGTCCCACATTCTTTGAAGTGTCGATAGGTCTGTAGCCGTCACAGAATTCTTCATTAGATCTTCCATAAACAAGAAGGCAAACAAAACGTACTTCTTTTGTTGATCTATAAATGAATAAAACAATAAATTTATATGATGTCATTTTCATGATATAAAGAATAGATTAACACATTGGTACAAGTAGGGTCTATAGGAAATGTGAGGTTAATCCGTATCTTACCAGCGACGTCTTTCTCGCTGGAATAAGAAAATCCAGCATCATTGCTTGTTGTTTCCTCCCCGTACAAAAACATCAAGATTTGAAGAATATTCTTTCTCTGGAAAAAACGAAAGAAAAGGTTAGATTCTTACTTGCTATAATTTTTATTAAAAAGTGTTTTTTATCCAGTTATTACTGATAATTTTCTCCCCATAAGTTACTTATTTATTTTTTTTCATTTCATATTGTATTCATAACTGATAATATTGCCAATAGTATCATTTATTATAATACATCCAAACATTTTAACAATTAAAGCTTACCACAGGCGTCATCATCCTCGAGTTTGTTTTTAATACATATTTTAGCAAGCTTAACCGTAAGCGGTGTTCAAATGTCTTTTCCCCTCGTCTCTCCATTTTTGCAATCTAAGAATGTTTCGTAATAAATTTGTCTTCGAATGGCACTTTGTACACAAATCAAATCAATGGTTCGCAACCTTTGTGACGTCAGTGTACTATGATGGCATGCTATTATGACGTCATCAAAACTTATCGGAGAAGTTGTGACTTGAACATTTCCGGAAAAAAAGGCTTTTACTCGAATCGAAATGATTTGTTCTTATTATGAAATATATATGGAAATAAATAACAGTATTCAAGTTTCAAAGTCCATAAAACAATACAAAATAGCAGCAGAGCAAACACGGTCCTCTAAAACATCAGAGGTGGGATTATAGGTACCATGGAGGAGAGAGCATCTCCTGCTGACCAGTCACACGTACCCGCCGTGTGCTCCTTGTCATG